ATTGCCTATGTACCCATACATTGACATTTTACATGGGCTTACTATGATGAACTATGGAAGTTAAAAGTTATTAGAAATGTTACCATCAATGAAGAGGAAACTAACAGGTAAAACACCAGTTCTATGTCTAACGGCAACCTTCGGTCCTTCTTTGCCGTTTCTGCAGGACGTAAAGTTTCTGACTCGTGCTGTTGTTAAGTAGCTTGGATGCCTTCCGGTAGCAAAAACGAGGCGAAGGAAAAAAGGGGCAAAACATTTATTTTCCATATAAATCGAAAGGTCCAAAACAAATGCCTCTGGTGGGAGCTCCGTTTATATTCCCTTTATGATACAACAAAAAATAACATTAAACGGCGACGGTCAAAAAACTGTTGCTCCACATCCTGCTCGCTTACCTAACCTTTTACCCACACCCCTCCGCATGCGGGCCAAATACACACCCCCTTAACGACACTTATCAACACTTTACAACAACAAACTAACAAAGCAGGATTAATTTATGGATTACATTAAAACATAAAATGATCAAGATTATAATAGAAACTTAAAGATCTTGACAAATACTTAAATATGGCATGGACTTGGCTCCAACACTATGCTTCATGTGAAGTGGAAAACACTATAACAAATCTTTTAAAATACTACAAGACAAATTTTCACCATATATTCTCAACAATACAAATTCATCTGACTAAAACTTACATTTCGAATAATGATTTATCCACTTCACCTTCATATTGTCCGACCAGGTCAAAATAAGATGGCCTCAATTGCTTCAAAGATATAACTCATCTGCTTTGGATAATCAATGTTGAGGGCATACAGAAGGCCAAAGAGATATGCCAAGGCTGTAGAGAGATCTGGAATATTATGTAGCACGATGTCCCTTTCCAACACAACTGCATGTTCTCGCACAGACGTATCAGCATCGTCATCTTGTAGGATGGTGAGGATGGCAACTGATGCACCGTTCAACACTGGTTCCAAAATGTCAGTGTCCTGACGAAAAGTAAAATATGAATTATTGAAAACTAAGAAAAACTAAAGACAAAACAAATTTCTAAAGATTTTAACTTTAACCTCTATACCATGCTGGTCATTTGACTCATAGCGGTTTTAAGAACAAAAAGCTTATTTTCCTTTAATTAATGCTACCTTGTGAGTTTTGTACAAAAATATTTTCTGCTGTTGAACACCCACTAACAATGCCCAGCTGCTGCTCAACAGAAAAAAAAGGAGTGAGAGTTATGACAACTGCAATCCCCACTATAAAATTATCTGGACTGCACTGAGGAAGTGTACATTTCCATTTTGGATTAACTCATCCTTTAAAAACATCTCATAGCAATTAGTTTTACTTGCATTACTTTTTTGTACTTACTAAGCACTTCAGGAAAACCTCTGTTGCATCCTCTCTGAGGAAAATGGGCTGGCCTCTC